GATGGTCGTGCCAGGGTTAGAAGGCGACGTGGTGAAAGGAGGAATCCACAGTTTTTTGTTGAAAGGCATGTTCATCACACTGTTGGAGTTATGGTTTGGGGTGCTATAGCTTATGGTTCCAGGTCACCTTTAATCTTCATCAGCGTTATATCCACGAAGTTCTAGAATCCCATCTTTTACCCTATCTTGACACCCTGGCAGATCCAACTTTCCAACAAGATAATGCCCGGCCACATGTTGCAAGAGTCACAATAGACTTCTTTCAACATAATGATGTCACATTGTTACCATGGCCACCAAGATCTCCCGACTTATCCCCAATTGAGCACGTGTGGGATATGATGGGTAGGAGATTGCTCAATTTGCAACGTCCTACTCAGACTCTAGAAGCACTTCGAGAGGAGTTGGTGGTTGCCTGGAATGAGATACCACAGCAGGACATTGACCACCTGATCAGAAGCATGCCTAGGCGCGTTGGAGAATGCGTAGTACATCAGGGTGCATCCACACATTATTAAAGGTCAAAGGACTTTAAAGCAGTGCAATCATTTTGAAATTTTTATCATTTACTTATTATGCTTCATTAAGTACTTATACAAAATTTTATTAAAATAAAACCATTTAAACTGGGTGTTCGGATTTATATGTCACTTAGTATATCAGTGAAGTATCTGAAGCGGTTCTGAAAATATTAATTAACTTCCATTTTTTTCCTAAAACTTCAACACCATGAGTTTTTGTAAGGAAACATTTTTGGACCATAGTTTATGAAGCAAACTAACATTCATTTTTCATATAGATTCACACCCTTAAATATTCTCATATCATTAAGGAACACCCTGTATAATAACTGGCTTAAAAGATAATCATAAGTCTAGGAGACGTATGTAAAATAATTGAGATTTAACATTCTGTTTTCTGGGGTAAATTGCAATTTCAAATAACTGTTTAAATGCTAGTTCCAGAATTAAGACAACATTTTATGAAGTTAAGTTTATACTAGTACTTATCGGACCGCCATCGTATAGTAGGTACTTTTCCTTCTTGGTTTGCCAACTGTTCGACTCCCGAAGAACGTCTTATGTAGAATATTTAGAAACTCCAGGACACTAAGTTTCAGTAAATATACTAAGTGACATATAAATCCGAACACCCAGTTTAAATGGTTTTATTTTAATAAAATTTTGTATAAGTACTTAATGAAGCATAATAAGTAAATGATAAAATTTTCAAAGTGATTGCACTGATTTAAAGCCCTTTGACCTTTAATAATGCGTGGATGCACCCTGATGTGCTACGCATTCTCCAACGCGCCTAGGCATGCTTCTGATCAGGTGGTCAATGTCCTCCTGTGGTATCTCATTCCAGGCAACCACCAACTCCTCTCGAAGTGCTTCTAGAGTCTGAGGAGGACGTTGCAAATTGAGCAATCTCCTACCCATCATATCCCACACGTGCTCAATTGGGGATAAGTCGGAAGATCTTGGTGGCCATGGTAACAATGTGACATCATTATGTTGAAAGAAGTCTAGTGTGACTCTTGCAATATGTGGTCGGGCATTATCTTGTTGGAAAGTTGGATCTGCCAGGGTGTCAAGATAGGGTAAAAGATGGGGTTCTAGAACTTCGTGGATATAACGCTGCGCGGTCATGTTACCTCTGATGAAGATTAAAGGTGACCTGGAACCATAAGCTATAGCACCCCAAACCATACCTCCAACAGTGTGATGAACATGCCTTTCAACAAAAAACTGTGGATTCCTCCTTTCACCACGTCGCCTTCTAACCCTGGCACGACCATCGTGCATGCCTAAACAAAATCGAGACTCATCACTAAAGACAATACTGTTCCATTCCTGATCCCAGAGTGACCGTTTTCTGCACCACTCAAGGCAATTGCGTCGGTGTTCTCGAGTTAAAGGGAGGACCCAGTGTGGCCGGTATGAAAACAAGCCAAAACTTCTCATTCGTCGGTAAACACTTCGCATGCCAATAGGTCTTCCGTGTTCTGCAAACCATTCATTTGCAATGGACCTGGTAGTGGAGAAACGGGACCTTAAGGTCAATTATCTTAGGCGGCGATCTTCACGGTCTGTTGTTCTACGGCGGCGTCCAGTGCCCCTTGCTCTTTGCGTACGGCCTTCTCGAAGCCATGCCTGACAACACCTAACCACAGTGTCTACACTTCTTTGCACTCTAACTGCAATTGCCCGAAAAGAAAGTCCAGCTTCCAGAAGTCCCACTATACGGCCCCTACCAAACTCACTAAGTTGACGAAATCGTACAGGTCTCCGTACTCTAGGCATCGTAACCGATCGTAAAGGATGTCAAGAACCAAAATCCGCCAACGTTGATTCTTTACTGCGGCTGAAATATTCATTTTTAGAGCGTTCCTGAATTAAAAAAAAGCAGTATAAAAACCGGAATGTCCAACTGATAAGGCTGAAAATCTTTTCACTTGTTATTTACAGTAAGATAAATACATTCACCAACTTTTATTAAAATAAAACCATTTAAACTGGGTGTTCGGATTTATATGTCACTTAGTATACGCATTTCTCTTCTGGTATAACAGTTTTCTTTCGATAAATGGTAGAAAGTGATGGTTAGTTGCCGAGATTCGTGTTGACCCAAGAGAAAAGGGTGCAAAATCCCAGCCCGTATCGACAGCGTAAATGTCATGGCATTAAGAAAGGTGTGGGGCGAAGCCGCTGTCACACTTTCGAACACCCACCGATGCTTTGACCCAAATTCAAGCGCCTCCGAATGAGGGTGACGAATACGAGTGGCATACGCAAAATTCAAAATAGTTGCGTATTCGCTTTTTTATTCATCCTGGAAATTACGTATGCAAATTTGTTGTATTTCAAATGAGAGAGCGATAGGAAAAGCAAAATGCCTGGTTGATGAAGTATATTAAAACTAACACAGATGAGAAAATATGGTACATACAGGAATATATATGAATCGTAAAAAAGTTATTACATTTCACATTAATTTTATTTCCAGTCATTTAAATTTTATAGAAATTTATTTTACGAGGTCAAGTAGAAAATACAAATCAACGCGTAGATGTGAGGCAGCGCGAAAATGTTTTGTATTCGATGTGTCATTCCTAATTTGTAGGTAATAGGTTTTCTATTTTTTAATTATTTAGTAAAATTGACACGAGTTTATCGATGCCAGGTCACCGAGCTGATCAGAGTAGGATCCATATCAGTCGTTCAACCTGAAATAAAGGAAGACAGGGAGAATTCTCAGGTGTTGAACTGTCTTAGTTTCACGTCGAAAATGTTCCCTGTGAGGGTATCTTTAAACCTATAGCTGGTGCTGTAGCCTGTAGGCAACATCATCTTTAAACCTCAATTTCTCGTCCTCCCTGCTCTAACGGACTGATTGGGCAGTGTTGCGCGTAAGCTACATTATTCATTAACGGAAATAATATGAGCTCTGTTTATAAAACGTTGAGTCAAAATTTTCAATATGGTTGCCGCGTAACGGTGTTTGGTGCACGTATGAATCTGTAGTTGGGATTTTAGTTGCAAATGGTAAGTAACCATTTGCTCTTGTGTTCTATTAGCCTTGGTTGGTATAAAATAAGATTGAGTCTTTATGTTTATGATTATTTTTAAGCGATAGATCAGAAAATAAGGCAGGAAAATGACTTTGTTTAGTATGTATCTCTCAAGCAACTTTGCCAGAATAATTACGTTTTCTTTTTCAGTCTTCCGATCTGGATAATTTTCCAACCATAAGCACTACATGTTTTTTCGGCAAAAAGAAGGCACCGATCGTAATTCCCATAGATCCGCATATTTCCGATGTCTCAGACGACGATTTCAAATATTTCCCAAACAAATGAGCTTAACGATGAAGAAGAAGTGCCTTCAGGACTTGACATGCTGGTTCCAGAAAGTAATTCTGAATTCGAAGAAAGTGAAGATGAAACTGAGCCGCCACCACCACAAAGACGAAAAACTGAAACATATTCTTAGATTGAAGCTGACATAGTTGCTGCTAACATACCTTAACCAGACTTTCCTGAACCTGACAACATTGCAGTTCCCATTGAGTATTTTACAAAGTTTTTTTCATTTGATCTAATGGATAAAATAGTCTATCAGACAAATCTTTATAGTACTCAGCAACTTGGGCGATGTATTGATACAAATCCGTCAGAAATAACGGATTTTCTATCTATACTCTTGATTATAGGTGTAATAAAACTCTGCATAGAAGATTTTTGGGCAGCTAGTACAAGAGGCCAATATAATGCCTCTGAAGGGTTTCATGAAACTAAGACTGTTTATCCATTTCAATAATACTAACATAACAGACCAGACAAAGGATCGATATTTCAAAATTAGACCCTTATTAGAGATTGTACGCAAGAACTGTTATAAACTCCAGTTTGAAAATCAATACTCAATTGATGAAACAATGGTGTCTTACAAAGGCACATATGCGGACAACTTGAAGCAGTATATCCAAAATAATCCCCACAAATGGGGGTTTAAATTTTTTATTCGTGCTGGGGTTTTTGGTTATATTGCCGACTTCATATCCTATCAGGGAGCTGCGCCAGTTGAAATGCTTAGAGGATCTGCGAATGAGTTAGATGATTATGAAGTAAATTTAGGTGTAGGTGCTAGCGCCGTCATTTCTCTGTGCAAAGCCCTAAGCGAACCGAAAAACACTGTTATATTCTGTGATAATTGGTTTTCAAGTGTAAAATTATTTATTTATCTGAAAGACCGATTCGGGATACTTCGTTTAGGAACTATAAGGTCTAACAGAATAGCTGGATGTCAACTTGAAACCGATAAAGTGCTTCAAAAAAGGGGAAGAGGTTCCTACGTTTATAAAGCAGATACCGACAAAGGTATAATAGTAGTAAAATGGGCTGTCAATAAATGTGTTCTATTAGCAAGTACATTATGTGGCCTAAATCCCGTAAAATCGATAAAAAGATATTCGAAAGTGGAAAAGAAAAAAATTACCATCCCTTGTCCATCCGTTATAACGCAATACAATAAGCACATGGGTGGTGTCGATAAGGCCAATTCATTACTTGGTCTGTATCGAAGTCCAAGCAGATCGAAAAGATGGTACTTCCCAATTTTCACATGGGTTCTTGATATGTCAGTGATCAACGCCTGGCTTCTGTACAGAAAGGACTGCAACACAGCACGTGTAACGTCAAAACCGCTAAAGGAGTTCCGTATGGAATTAGCCAAATCGTTGGCCAACGCAGGAAGACAAAGTTCTCGTGGCGGACCATCCATTTCCTCGACTAATAAAACCCCTGCGAAAATAATATCAAACCCTATACTGCCGAAACCTGATATCACCACCCAAAAAGATGGTATAGGTCATTGGCCAACTTATGGTACAAAAGGTAGATGCATACAAAAATCTTTTGTACCAAGTGCAATCTTAGGCTTTGTTTCACCCCAAATAAGAATTGTTTCTACCTTTTCCATTCCACTTAGATTTAGCTGTTTCATCACATTGTACTTTGTGGAACTAGAAATATATATTTTGTTTATTTCTTGATATTCGTTTTATAAATAAATGATTTGAAATGTATAGTTGTATTTCCATATAAACCAGTGCAATTAGGTTTACCTTTATCGGTCAATGTTGCTTGCAAGTAACAATAGAACCTATACTTTATCTCGCAATGTTGCTTGCAAGCAACTAACTCTAAAGTCATTTTCGCAGGTTATTTTTCAACTTTTATAATATCTTATGTCATCTATAAGTCATAACTGATAACCTATGTCAATATTAGATTTTTTGAATAAGGTGTCGCGCAAAGGCAGATACAGGATTAAATATTGGCGGTATTGCTTTCAATAAATATTAGAAAAGTTTTTAAAAATCCCGAAAATAAACGTTTACTTCCAAAAAATTCCTCTAAAATTTAGGTTCCAAAAAAATTCCTCCACGATCCAAAAATGAACGTGTTCCGTCTATTGGCGACACTGATATGAACGCTGAACTCTTGGTCGGAAAGGCTAACTTGAAATGTGCCAAACACTGATCAACAGCCAAAAAATATCCTAAATAAAATCAACAAAATATTACTATTTTTAATGTGCTAAAACCGGAATGAAACTTATTTTTTCAATATTAGTTCAAGTTTTAGAGATACGGTAATTATATGTGTTCCTGCTGTGACAGTGTTAATATACTGTAATTCACAAGAATGCACGTGCTACATTTTTATATTCGGCAAGGAAAGATGATGTAATCGGCATGATTGTGTTACGTTATACATAGGTACGTGTACATTATATTGTTTTATATTAGCCATTTTTTCCTCAGTTGGCTGACAGCGTTCATGCAAGATGTCTCGAAAGTGTGTAAACAATCCAGATCAGTTTTGTTACGTGTGTGGCGTCTCAGAGACGGTCTATTTCTCCACTAATAACAAAGGCCTATCAGCTTTATTTCGGTTGTAAACTAGGTGATCAAGACAAACAGTGGGCACCCCACATCTGCTGTAATACATGTGCTTCAAGTCTGAGGAGCTGGTTAAATGGCAAAAAACGGTCTATGCGCTTTGCTGTCCCAATGGTTTGGAGAGAGCCTACAAATCATATTAATGATTGTTACTTTTGCATGGTACCTTGTGTTGGACAAACCACACGTATGTCCAAGAAAAAAAAATCGGTTATTAACTACCCAAACATACCATCTGCGATGAGACCTGTGCCTCACAGTGACGAAAATCCTATTCCAAAACCCCCAGAATCCTACACTTGCGAATCAGAAAACGAATCAGATCATGGCGATCGAGTGATTCGTCAGGAAGAAGATATGCCATCAACGTCAAGAGATCCTGATTTTATACCGAGCACGTCATGCCACCAACCGCACAAAATAACACAGTCAGAATTAAATGATCTTGTAAGAGATTTAGAACTTCCAAAATGTAAGGCAGAGTTACTTGGATCAAGACTGCAGCAGTGGAACTTGTTAGAAGACGATGTTTCGGTATGTGTTTTTCGTAAACGCCACAAAGACTTAGAACCATTTTTCAATATGGAGAATAACTTGGTTTTCTGCAGTAACATTAACGGCTTACTGGCGGCTTTAAATATAAACTATAACCCAGAAGAATGGAGATTGTTTATAGACAGTTGAACATTGAGTTTAAAGGCAGTGTTATTGCATATTGGAAATATTTTACCATCTCTTCCTGTAGGGTATGCGGTTCACATGAAAGAATCATATGACAATATGAAGTAACTATTGACATGCATAAAATACGATGAGCACCAATGGCATATTTGTGGCGATTTGAAAGTTGTTGCACTTTTACTTGGGCTGCAACTAGGCTACACAAAGTTTTGCTGTTTTTTTGTGATGACAGTCGTGCAAAGGCTCTTCATTACACCAGACAAAACTGGCCTGTTCGCCAATTCCTAGAGCCAGGTCAAAAAAATTTACAGCATATGCCATTAGTAGATTCGAAAAAAATTTTATTACCACCACTGCATATCAAGTTGGGCCTAATGAAAAACTTTGTCAAGGCATTAGATAGAGATGGGTCAGCTTTTCAATACCTGCGTCAGAAATTTCCAAGACTAAGTGAGGCAAAGGTTAAAGAAGGTATTTTTGTTGGGCCACAGATTCGAAATATTTTGAAAGATACACAGTTTGAAAACACTTTAACAGGTATTGAAAAAACTGCTTGGAATGATTTCCGTTTGGTGGTCACTAATTTCTTGGGAAATAGAAAAGCTGACAACTATAAAACCCTTGTCAAAAATATGCTGTCATCGTATCAAAAGATGGGCTGTAATATGTCTCTTAAGATACATTTCCTACACTCACACCTGGACTTTTTTCCTGACAATTACGGAGCCGTAAGTGATGATCACGGCGAACGTTTTCATCAGGATATTTCAACAATGGAAAAAAGGTACCAGGGAAAGTGGAATCCTTCCATGCTTGCAGACTACTGTTGGACTCTTGGTAGAGATGCTCCAGAAACGATCCATAAAAGAACAGCAAAAAGACAGCGCATATAGTGATTCTTATAAGTATATGAATCTTGTTACTTTTTTTAATATATCCCTAAAAATAAAAGTTTTATTTCTAAACCGCAACTAATTTTTTTATTTCATTGTCATTTTTGGATTCAGCGCCCCAAAATTAACAAAAAAGATAATCAAATATAAAGACTAGAAAACTTGAGATGTTCTTTTAGAAGATTACAATTGTTTGTTATTTTTGAATAAAATGTTTAACCTTTCCAAATTCGAAAAGTAGCATTTAAACAGTTAATTGGAATTGTAATGTACGTCAGAAAATAAATGGTTCGAATGAAAAATTTTAATTATTTTACATACGCCTCTTAGAATTACGGTTACCTTTCACGCCAATTATTAAATCACAGGGTTAAACAAAATCAGAGGGCGTCCAAGAAAAGTGATTATCGAAAGCAAAATCGGAATGGGAAATTTCTTCCACGAATGCGAGCCTAAACTGAATCACAGCCGACGTCAACTACGAGCCGTGAACAAAGAAATCTGGCAACGTAGGTGGTAGTGTTACTCCCGCCGCTGCTTGCTGCATCTACGCAACTCGTGCTTAAAACGCTGAGAAAACATAACCTTTTCAATTTGTGATTTTGGAATCCCAGAGGCTGTAATTAAGAGATAAGCTTGTTTTCTAAGCTTCAAAGTGTGTGTATGTGTTCAAAGTGATCGGTGACTATAATATATGAGAAATAGACTCCAGTTGTAGTGCTTCTGTGCTTTAAAAATAAACTAAGAAGTGTGACTGTGGCTGTTCGCGCCTCAGGACGCTAAGGATTTCAACTATTGAAAACGTGCAAATTCAGGTTGTATTTTTCTTTTTTCATTTATCAAGTATTTGACGCAGATAATATGCCTCGTTGTTGCTGTGTTCCTTTATGCAATGCAAACTATAATTCTGCTTTGAAAACAGAAAGCTATGTTTCAACTTTTCGCTTCCCAAGTACCGAAAGTCTGAAAAACAAATGGCTTATGGCAATTCCTTGAAAAAATTGGACACCTTCAAAATATTCAGCTGTGTGCAGTCGTCATTTTAGAGAATCGGATATCATCAGGACAGAAAATATAGTTTTGGCGGATGGAACAGTCCAAAATAATATACCTTTGAAATATCCAAAATTGAAAGAAAATGCTGTTCCCTCCATTTTCCCAAACTTGCCATCATATCTTTCAAAAACTGAAGCACCCAAAAGAACTGACCCAATGCAAAGAAAACAAAAATTAATTGAGAAACATGAAAAAGCTATCGAGAATTTCGATGATATGGATAAGATCAAAGATAAATTTAGTTCAAAAATGTGGATTTGAAGTTATTTGTGTTGTTACTGATAATCACCGAATTAATAGAGCAATGTTCAGGAAATTAGCAAAGGATTCATCAGAAAATTATTCTATTCCAAATCCACATAATCCTGATAAGAACATATATTCAACTTATGATGTTGTGCATATTTTCAAGAGTATCAGAAATAATTGAATTAATTTAAAAAACCTATACAAAACTTTTGTATATCCTAATTTTGACAATAATGATATTATTCAGTATGCTAAATTTGAAAACATTCGTGCTGTATATCAATTGGAAAAAGAAGCTGTAGTTAAGAAAGCATATAAATTAAATTATAAAACATTGCATCCAAATTCATTTGAAAGGCAAAATGTAAATTTTGTAGATAATTTATTCCATCACTCAACAATAGCTGCTATGAAAGAATTAAAGTTTAATGATGCTGCACTCTTTTTGGAAATAATCAGGTATTGGTGGGATATTGTCAGTAATACAAGTGTAATAAAAGGAGAATTGAAGCGAAACGAATTTTGTAAGCCTATTACCAATAAATATGATTATAGAGTACAATTTTTAAAAAAATTCCTGATATGGTTAGAAAAATGGCATAATCTAGAGAATAATAATGGACACCTGTCACCAGAAACGTATACAGCTCTATATCAAAGCACGCTGACTCTTCTTAATATAATTGAATATTCATTTAATCAATTTGACATTGAGTATGTATTGCCTGGAAAATTCACCACTGATAATTTAGAAAAACGATTTGGCAATTATAGACTTTTATGTGGCTGCAATTACAATGTGTCATATGATGAAATTTTAAATGCTGAAAAGAAAATTCGGCTGAAGCATATTTTCAATGAAAAGAAATCGTCACTTTCTTTAGCAGAAATTAAAACAAGGTTCCAAAACTGCTTAGAAACTCAAGAAAATTTTGATTTCTTGGATACCAAACAAAATCCTGAAGTTTTGGATATATTCAATGAAGTATTTGAGACAAATTACATAGCCAATTGTGACATAGAGGATAGTACTAAGACTTATATATCTGGATATGCTTCACACGCTATCTCTAAAAACCTAAACTGCGAGATATGCAAATCGCTAATAGTTAAAGAAAAAGGTTCATTAACAACAAATGTTTATTTTGATCATTTGCAAAGAGGAGGACTGTCAATTCCAACCCGTTATGTACCAATCATATTCTACCATACGTATGCCATTTTTGAATCTATTATTAATGTAGATAGATTGGAAATTTTCTTCTTGAAAAGCAATAATCAAAAATTTATTTTGTGGCAGTTAACCTTGCTCAGCATTCAGTCTGACTTTATATACAGTGAATTTTCTTTAACTTGCATCTGTGGCCGC